AAGGGCAACTGGTTTAGTTTAGTTTGTGGTATGAGAAGCCCAGGAGAGATGTTAGGAAGTCTGACAGTGAACCCTGTCCTGCACCCCCAGTTCTGTGCCATATGACATGGTTCAGTTGTATCCTAAAGGCACAAGCAGCCCATTGTGAAGGACTCTAATGAGGAACAGGGACAGGGTCAGATGTGCATTGGTGGCAGATTAGATTATGTATGTATGTGGTGGACAGGGGAAAGGAAATATTGACCCTGAGTGTGGAAACCATTACAATAATCCAGGAAGGGGTCATGTGTGTCATGGAAGATTGAGAAGAGAATTCAGATACAGGTGGAATTGAAAGGGTTTAGAGGAAAATTGGATTAATGGGACTCCTGGAATGGCTCTGTGGGTTAATGTACCAGACTGCAAAGCCATTTGAACTGCAAGGTCGGTGGTTCAAGCTCACCAGATTCTCCTTGGAAACCCTATACAAGGTTGCTATGGGTCGGAGCTGACTCAATGACACTTAAAAACAACATGTATAGAACACATGATCACTTAATGTTATGCTACCAGCTAAAATAATTAAAAGCCAAAGTTCTATGTCTAAATAGTTGGCAAATGATACCTTTTAAGTGGGTATTTTGTACTATGTGGAGCACAGTTTTATCAGAGGATGGCATTTAGGTATTGATTTTATAACTATTTTACAGCAAGAGAGACAAAAAAAGCTACAGAACTTTGTGAAAGCCACATAGATCAATCCCACCATATTGTGTTTTAGAAGTGATCCGATAGAACATAATTTAAAGAGGAGGCATTGGAGGCAGGAAGACCAGTTAGTACACCATTTTAAAACTAGAGATAGTAAGATGGTGGCAAGGCTTCAAACTAAACACTTGAAAAGATATTGATTAATTGCCATGAAGTTGATTCTAACTTATGATGACTCTGTGTGTGCAGAGTGAAACTGCTCCATTGGGTTTCCAAGGCTGTGAACGTTCTTCCAAGGTGCCTCTGGGTGGGTCCAAACTACCAACCATTCAGCTAGTGGTTATGCTACCACCCAGGGACCGGGACTCCTTCTCACCTTTCTAATGAATCTATGACTCTGGGAAGGTCTTAATGCATAGAAGAAGGGACAAACTAGAGGAAGGAACAAACAGAGAGACATTATCTTCACTCATGTCTGCAAAATTGATTTGACCAGAAACAATAGAAGTCACCTTACTGTTATTGAAATGCAAAACTTAACGTATTTTAAAAACTGTTTCTCTGACTAAAAAATGTGCCAAATCTAGGTAAGTAAGTTGTAGCTCAAGAAAGTAAAATTCCCTTTAACAGAAATGTCTGCCTAGATAACCCATGTTAGATGTAGCACAATGACAAACCTCTTTCCTTTGGATTTCCCTTTTTCTACCCCAACATCACCATAATCACGTTAAATTAATAACAATGAATGACATATAGCTTTTTGAAAAACACTGTGGTTTGGAACTAGATCAGGGAGATACTTAGTGCTTGTCAGTACCCCAATCAGAAGCCAGATGTGGTGCAGTGAATTACTTAATATGGCTCTTTTAACTATCGTCTTTGTAACTCCCACCAACTAGTGGGTGGAATATGCAAATAAGGTACTTGTGGCCCACCAAAGGATTGGGTTGTTGTTAGGTGCCGTTGAGTTGGTTCTGACCTGTAGCAACCCTGTACAGGGTTTCCGAGGCTATAAATCTTTATGGGAGCAGAAAGCCTCATCTTTCTCCTGCAGAGTGGCTGGTAGTTTCAAACTATAGACCTTAAGGTTTGCAGCCCAATTTGTAACCACTACACTACCAGAGCACCTTAAAGGGATTGGGTAGCTAGCTAATAATATAAATAAGATACATGGCACTCTTGTAGGGTTGGAACCATTCAAATAGGATATATGGGTCTTAAAGTGAGACATTTAAAACACAGAAAGTGGAGGTGGGGGCGTGTCTCCCTATCATCAAAAAATAAGGCCCATGAGCAGAGTACGTTGTATGGACCTAGGATCCCTGTGCTGATAGCCTCCTAGATCTGGGAAACAAATATGCACAGAGAGAGAGTTGTAACACCAGAAATGAGAGAGGATAAGAAGCAGTAATAGAGAAAAGGTGAAAACAGAACCAGGAGATCAATAAGAGACTAGCAAGGAAGCGCACAGTGGATGTCCCAGCCTACAGAGTGAGACAGCTGAGCACCATTGGTCCGAGGCTTAGAGGCAGAGTGGAGTGCCTCTGGGCACTTATCATAGAGATTAAAGACCTTTGTAACAGTTGCCAGAACAGAGACCAGACCAAGGGGGCAAGGACCAGAGAAAGACTGTGGGTATGGCCGCCTGTGGGTAGGGCTGAGAAAAGGCTGTCCTGATTGAAGAGCCATATTCTGAGTGTTTCTGAATTGTAAACTGTTACTTTGCTAATGGGGGTGTGTACATCCATACGATAAGACTGAACTGCAAACTACAAGGGTCACAGTTCAAGCCTGCCAGTCAATGTGCGGGAGAAAGATGAGACTTTCTGTTCCCATGAAGATTTAAAGCCTCAAAACCCTATATGGGTCTCTATGAGTTAGAACCAACTCAATAGCACTTAACAACAGCAGCAACTTTCCTAATAAACCATATAACTGTAAGTAAGGTCTGTGAGTTCTGTGGGGCCATTGCAACAAACGATCAAACATAGCAGAGAAGTAGAGAGTGTTGTGGGAAGGACTGTTGGTGTCTGAATTGGTGGGAAAAAAAAAAGGTTGGAGGTGGAAGTATGTCTGACCTTCACCTCATAGGGTCAGATAGTGATTCTCTCTCCCCATCATGAGCTTAGACTAGAAGGCCATATGCTTTCACCAAACCATTTCTGCACCAGATCTCAGTATGGGTAATAAATGAGAATGTGAATGCTTTTTTGTAATGGGTGGATTTTTAATGGCTCTGAATTCAGACTTTTCAGACTTAACATGTAAACTTGGAGAGAGGCCTTTTCTTGTGATCTTTCATGAAAGTTGAGCCCTGTTCCAACTGTGTGTGAGAGAGCTGGGTGGGCAGTTGGAAATGGAATGCCTAAAGTGTCAGGCAAGATGTTTGGCCTCTCTAAGCCTTGGTTTCCATCTCTATAACCCTTTGATTCTGGCTCATGTTGACCCCATATGTGTCAGAGCAGAACTCTTCTCCATAGGGTTTTCAATGGCTGATTTTTCAGAACTATCTCATTAAGTTTGATGGTATAGTGACTAGGCAAAGAAGAAGAATCAAACTTCACATCAACTGAAGATTGATTCCTATGAGGCAGAGATCAAATATGCCTCCATCCTTCAACCTTCTTTATCCTATTCTGACATCAGCCAGCCTTCCTAGGGCACTCTACTTCTCTGCTGGATTCAATTATCCTTTGCAGTGACCACACAGAATTCACAAACAATACTCACAATGATGGGGTTTATTAGGGAAGTGACAGGGTACAATTCAGGATAAGAAACGCCTCAGGATACAGCAGTTCTTCAGTCAGGAATGCTTCCTGTCAGCCAGACTGCAGCCAGGTCTCTCTGGCTCTTGGCCTCTCAGCCATGCAGCCCCTTGACCTCTGCAGTGCTCAGGTAAGAGTTACAAAGCTCCTTTAGCTCTGTGAATAAACGCCCAAAGGGCACCCTATTCTGCAAGCCAGCCTTGCCCAACTGTACTCAGCTTTCCTCAGTCTGTGGGTCGGAAAGACCACTAAGCAGTCTCTTGCTGTAATTTCGCTGCTGCAGGCCCTGCTACTGCTGCTTTTCTGGGCAGGAGTCTCTCGCTCCACTTTCTTGACGGTCTTGAGATCATCTGTTCCTGATTTTGAGGTGGCTCTTTGTAAACCTCACTGGATGACAAAACTAACCAATACCAGTGTTACAGTCCCATATACTTATTTGCATGGCCCCACTTAATCATTTGGTGGAAGTTACAAAGACCATGGTTGTTGTCATTGCTGTTAAGTGCCATCGAGTCGGTTCCTACTCATAACAATCCTGTATAGGGTTACCAAGGAGTAGCTGGTGAGCTTGAACTGCCTAACCTTGCAGTTCAAATGGCTATAGTAGAAGAGCCATAATCCAATGTACCACAAGGCCTTCCTTCCAAGGCACCTCTAAGTGGACTTGAACCTTGGTTAGAAGCATAGACCATCTGCATCACCCAAAGACTCCTTCCTTCTCCCTAAAAGGAACATAATAATGATGACCATCTCATGAGGACATTGTAAAGATAAAATTGAGTTACTGGTGCTAAACAGTATAAAGCCTGCAAATCATATTGAATATTGTAAGAAATAAGAAAGAAAGAGATGAGGAGAGAACTGGCTTCCACAGCAGGCAGGTTTATTGAGAAAAAACCTGGGAGGGGGAACTCAAAGTCAAGAGAGACAGAGAGCCCACCTTTCCCTTACAGACTAGTGTATTTAAGGTGGCGATGTCCCAGGTAGAGTAATGGGAGAATCCGGGAGGGGGGTTTGGCGGCCTTTTAATGGGTGGAGTTATGGAGATGTTCCAGAAACCTGAAACATTGGAGGGAACCCCTCTTGGTGTAACAAAGACTTAAGCTTTCAGGATACCAATGCTTAAACAGGACTGTATTTGGTGCTATTGTGTGGGCAGCTGCAATACCATCTTGTTGATCAGGAGCAGGGTCCTCCAAATATGCTGATATTAAATTGGTTAATATACTTAATTATTATTAAATACAAGAGTGTGTATTTCACACCTATTTACAATACCTAGTTTCAGTACATCAAACGATAATGCCAATCGCCAGGTGATTATATTTTTAAAAGAAGTATAAATACAGCCCTCTTTGACTAATGATTCTTCCTAGTAAGGGACATTAACTCGGGTATGGTCTTTAGTATTCTCTGGTGGCAAAGGGAATGGGGTTGAGGAGTAGGAATGTAGAGGAAACAAAAAATGTGGTCATTGTAGAAATAAGACAGTGCATCTGAGAATAAACTGCCTTACATGAATGCAATGTTCTTCTTTCTCAGGTACATTAAGGAGACAAACATCAAAAATGACCCAAATGAACTCAATAACCTTATCAAAAAAACCTCTGATGTGATAACATGGACTCCGCGACCAGGAGCCACCCTTGATCTGGGTAGAATGCTGAAGGACCCCACAGACAGGTTTGACTTAAATATTTACAGAAGACAGAAATACTTTTATGAATTTATTTCAATATTATGAGAAAATTAACACTATACCTCTTGCTTCATGACAGAGTTCCTATTTTGAAGTCCTAATATGCTTTTGTTTACTAACATGCTGTCTTAGTTACCCAATGCTATCATAACAAGCACGCTACAAGTAGAAGATTTTAAAATAACAGAAATGTATTTTCTCATGGTTCTAGAAACTGGAAATCCAAATACAGGGCATGACTTTTTTTGTCTGTTTCAACTTCTGGGTATTGTTGTTGTTAAGTGTCTTCGACTGGGTTCCTACCCATAGCAATCCTGTATAGGGTTTCCGAGGAGTAGCTGATGAGCTTGAATCACCGACCTTTTGGTTCAAACTGATTTTTCAGTCCAGCACATGAATCCACAGCGCCACACCAGGACTCAACTTCTAGTTGTTGTTGTTAAGTGCCATCGAGTCAGTTCCCTCCCATAGCAATCCTGTTTAGGGTTCCCAAGGAGCAGCTGGTGAGCTTGAACCACCGACCTTGTGGTTCAAACTGACTTTGCTGTCCAGCACATTATCCTGCAGTGCCACACCAGGACTCCTAACCTCTAGTAGCTGCCAACAATTCAATGTTCTTCTTTCTCGGGTACATTAAGGAGACAAACATCAAAAATGACCCATCTGTCTTCTGGCATCTGTCTTCCTCTTCTATGAGCTTCTGTGCTTACTCTGTTCTTTTTATAACTCAGAAGCAATTAGGTTTAGGCCCCACCCTACACTGATATAACTGCCTTAACATAACAAATGTAAACCCTATTTCTAAACAGGATCACAAGGGTGAGGATTTCAACATATATTTTTGAGGGACACACTGATGTTCATGTATCACCTTTCTTAAATGCAAAGCTGTTTTGTTCTTGCCCTGCTTAACATTCTAGAAGAGCTTCCCAGTGCCTTTAAGTATAAAAATGGTCTTAGCTCTCCAGATAAGAAGTGAAAAAGATTTTAATTTTTTCAGTTATTGGTGGTGACAGTGGTATGCTGTAGAGTCGGTTCTGACTCATAGCGACCTTGCATAGGGTTTCCAAGGCTGTAAATCTTTATGGGAGCAGAAAGCCTCATCTTTCTCTTATACAAGTGCTGGTAGTTTTGAACTGCTGACCTTGAGGTTAGCAGCCTGACTTGTAACCACTACATTATCAGGGCTCCCTATTTCGGTTATTAGTAGGACTTTTAAGAAGCTTCATTACTTGGAATTTGTCTCTCCAGCCTCATCTTTCACCATTTCTCCTGATTTTTCCAATAGCAGTAATTCTTAAACTGTAAGGAGCATCAGAAGAGACTAGAGACTCTGATTCAGTAGATCTGAGTTAAAGCCCAGAAACCTGCATCTGCATCACTGTCTCTTACCAGAGCATTCTGGGTAACAAGGTGGGTTACCGTGGTGGACTTTCAGGGCAGATAGAGAGTTTAAGGGACACCCGTTGCTGTTAAGTTGATTGTGGCTATAATACAGAGTAGAGCTGCCCCACAAGATTTCCAAAGCTGTCAGTTATTAAGGAAGTAGACTGCTGTATCCTTCTCCTGCAGAACAGCTGGTCAGTTATTAAGGAAGTAGACTGCCGCATCCTTCTCCTGCAGAACAGCTGGTGGGTGGGGATCACTGACCTCTCGGTAAGCAGCCAAGCAGCCTGAAGGCTAACTCGGCTTTGTGAAGGGAAGAGGAGTCAGAAGAGGGCAGGAAAAGCTTCATCTGCAATGTTTGGCATTTGAACTAGGTTTTAGAGGAAGGAGTTGCAAGTAGAGTGATTAGAGAGAGAAAAAAAAACAGAGATTCTAGTCAGAAGCAATGGATTATGCTCAAGGAGGGGACTTAAATAGTGTTGTGGGTTTGGTGAATGCTGTATATGCATCATCCAGAAATGATTTATTCAGCTCCTTCGAAATGCTGGGTGTCATATGAGGCACAGGAA